ACACAAGGTCAAAAGGACAATGATTTGATCTACAACGCCGTCATCCCAGCGGAGGCAACATTGCCTGTGGTCGACAAGATCTCTGCTGTGACGTCTATTCCTATCCAAGAAGTCTATGGTACTCCCGAAGTACAAAAGACGATCGGACCGGACCTTTTTGCCCGCTTGATCCCACTCAGCGTGCACGAAGGCGCAAGTGTGTACTCGGAAGAAAAGGCCAAACTCGTCCGGAAAGAAGTCGAAAAGTCGGAAATGGCTGACGGAGAAGTCAAGGCTGCTCTTGCATCGCTCGGCGTCAAGGAGGGTGTTGTAAGATTCAAAGAGATTGCTGAAGGTGTGGTGGATGAAAATGTGCCTAGTGTCGTCCTTGGCTGGCAAGAAGAGATTAAACGAAGAGAAACCAGCAAAGATGGCGCAAATGCTGTCGAACGACTTCTCAAAAACCTCGAAACTCTCAAGGCGGGAGTTCAAACCAAGCTCGGCACCATACAAGAGTCGATGGCTATGGAAGAGCGCCAATGCGAGATGGAGCGCGTCAAATATGCTCACAAATGGACTATGGAGCCCAGTGGTGGTCTGAACAAGGACTTGAGGCGGGATTGGAAGGAGATGAAGGGCTCGCTCGAAGCCGCAGCTCCTTCTGACCAACAAGTCTTTACGTTGTGGAGTGGGATCAAGGAGGATGTGGCCATCTTGACGGATACCAAACGTCTCGAGGCGACGTACGCTAATGCCGTACATGGAACTGGTGGAAGTCTCTTGGACGTTAGTGATGCCGATACGGATGATGCCGAGCGGGAAAAGATGGGCAAGTTGGTGGGAGAAATTGAAGAGCGATTGGGACGGCTGAACAAAATTGCGCGGGAGCGAAACGAGATCCTCAAAGACCTCAAAGAACGCATCCAAAACGATGACGTCTCGCATCTCCTCCTCTTGAACCGACGTACGCCAGGTGCTCAACCCAATAATGGTGGTCCCTCCAATGTCGAAGCGACAATCTTTGCGAACGAGTTGGAAAAGTTTAGGCCGTATCAAAGCCGAATAGCGTCTACTATACATGCTCAGACGTCTACTATTAACGAGATTGGTGGGCTTTGGAAGTCGCTCAAGAATCTTGGTGGAGGTGGCAAGGGCAAGGGTAACTCGAAGAAGAATTGGGAGGAGCGAGAAAAGAGAGTCAAGGAGGTTGTAAGGCGGATGGCCGCTGCTCGAGAAGGTTATCTAGAGGTCACGGATGGTGTCATGTGTGTTCATCGTTCCCATTTTTGCTCACTCGTATTAATTCCATTTACAGGAAAGGACTCCAGTTCTATAAAGATCTAACTAAACTAACGAATGGGCTAAACGATCGTGTCGAGACGTTTGTCTCGTCAAGGACCAAGCAACGAGAGGCACTAGCTGGGAAATTGGCAGTCGAAGCTCGACTGGAGGGTGCCGCCTCTCCACCGACCACTCTTCCCTCTCATCAGTCATCTGGATCGATCTCTGGTCCCCCGATCCCGCCTCCTCGTCCGTTGGAATCTGCATTTTCTTCCATGTCGTTGGGTGGATCAGGAGGTGGCCAAAGTGGACCATCTGTATCCTCTCCGACCAGTGTGGGTATGCCGCCCATGAATCCGCCCACCCACCTGGCATCTCCACATACTACGGGTAGCCTACCTCCAATGTCACCCTATTCTCAGCCGTACTCCCATCAACCGCAGCAACAGCAGCAACAACATCAACCACAGCAGCTCCCACCGCCTCCTCCCCTCCAACAATACCAATCTCAATACTCTACATCTCCTCCCCCCCAACAACAACCACAGCAGCCTCAACAGCAACAACAATACCCCTATCAATCTCCCTACTCTTCGCCACCCCCTCAGCAACAACAGCAGCCTCAGTACAACCCACAGCAGCAACTACCACCCCCACCGCCTCAGAGACAACCAACTGATCCGTACGCAGGAATGTTTGGCTCGATGGGTCTTTCGTCTCAATTCTCAATGGGAGGAAACAGCACAGCCGCGCCACTACCTCATAGTACCAACAGTATAGGTACACCGCCCGTTTCGTCGTCGTCCTCTTCACCTCCATTTGGACATGCCACCGGCACGCCTGGTGCCGTGTCGACTAGCGCGTGGACTACACCCGGTCCACCACCCTCCTTTACGCAACCGCAACAACAACAGCAGTACTCTCAGAGTATGTCACCACCTCCTTCGAATCCATATGGTACTCCTGTTGGAGGGCCGCAACACCACCTGTACCAGGGCTACCAACCCTCGCCTTCGTTTACTCCACAACAACAACCTCAACCCTCTTCACCTTATGGACAACCGCAGGTAACTCAGCCCATGGGTGGTGGGTATGGGTATGGAGGAGCAGTGCCGCAACAAACCCAACAACAACCACAACAGCAGCAACCGCAACAGCAGCAGGGACTGTATGGCTTGCCACCTCCGCCGAGCCAACCTGCTACCTCATATCAGTATCCTCGATGATGACAGTTATGATGAAGTGTCATGACTTTGGGCTTCGACTATTCATATTATTTATTGAAAGTTGATTTGAGGAGGGGGAGGCGTGAGGCGTGTAGAGACGTAGCGAGCGAGTGCGATGAAAGGACGAGGAGAATTGAGGTGATCGGCGGGGAGATCTCTATGGGGTGATGGCCCAATTTGCAAATTGGGGTGTCTATTACGAAAGAACGTCCAAGCTCTGTTCCCTCGAGGATTGATAGGTGATAGTGGGTGCAGAGACCGTTCGACAGCGTGGTGGTGGTGATGACGGCGATAGAAGATGGATGTATGTATCTAGTTGTATAGCACAATGGACCATGATAGCTCGATCCGTGTGTCTGGATCAGTGTAAATGATCACTGCCCTGCGTGATGTAGCTAGCAATAGTAGTACTCATGGTGCGGTAGCCTCGTTTCCCGTGTAGGAAGGAGGCTGTCCGTGGCCGCAATAGGGCTCGTCGACCCGAGGGTGTGTCTCGTACGTGACAATGTCGAATAGGAGATGTCGGTGATCTGCGGAGCCGATTATCTGTGGGCCCAGTAGCAGGTTACGTGACGATGACGTATTGTCGCGGATCGTGCGCGTCGCTCACTCGTCTCGTTATCATCCTCGTATGGTTGTAAGAGGCTGTGTCCCATTGCGTAGTTGTTCAACTTGTTGAACATGGTTTTGGTATAAATAGTGTCGAGTTGGAGTTCAACCAGTCTAACGAAATCCATCTCCTCCCACCCGCTCAAGTAGACTGGTAGTCGACTTTGGTGATATCATTAGTTGTGCCGCTGCCCCGCCCTAACCGTGCTGTCCATCCTCCACCACACTAGTCCCACTTTGACCACAACCACCACCACCACCCGACAACTCGCCTTCATCACACTTGACCACCCCCACAACCAACACCGTTTATCTTTAGACTACTACTCCTACGATGGTGCTCTTGTCTGCCCCTAAAGAATGGCTAATGTCCCCTCCAACGCTCCCCACCGAAGAGACCATCATCATCTTTTACGCCAGCATCGACCCACACACCGGCCAAATGTGGTGTCCCGACTGCCGCAAGGTCAAATCGACCATCGACTGGTTGTTCAACGGGGACGACAAGCCAAACGCCTATGTCATCTATGTCGGATCCAAGGCAGAGTGAGTCCATTTCCTACGACATCACCCCCGTAAAAAAAAGAGTTTTTTTTTTTTTGTGGATCGCCCTTCTCTTTTTCCGTTCTCCTTTTTTGGGAGTCGTGTCCGCGCTCCACACTGGTTAGCCTCTTGGCCTAGTACCCGGTCGCCATCTGCGACCCGCCGCTGCCTTCCCGGCTCGGTCGCTCTCCGTCAATCGGCTCTGTGAGGCTGTTTACTGACACGTTTCATGATCATCTAGATGGAAACTACCGGCTACAAATCACTTTAGGACGGACTGGAAGATTGACAGTGTGCCGACCATGGTCAAATACAAGAACGTACGTGCACTTGCTTATCTAACCTCATGATCATAGACTCACATGGTATCTATATCAGGGCAAGGAAGTATCTCGGTTGGTAGAAGACGAGATATTGGATACAGACGCACTCGGAGACTTTATCTAGACCAGATACCACTACCCCCTCACTCGGTCCCGATCTATTTGGACACACACTCTGCATTCTACACTAGATATTCTCCATTTGTTCCTATTTATGGGTTCTTTCGCATCGGCATGCTTTGCAGAGCAACCCTTTTAATCGAATCACGGCCACC